ACCGAAGTAGCTTCTTCATACTTCAGAGGTACACAATCAGAAGATGCGCTTGGCAATTGAATTTCCTAGAAAGAGATAAAAATGAGGAACACATCTCTAAGACATTCGGGAGGGGGCGTGGAAGGAATGTCACAAAAAAGACAGGCACAAGTTAAAGAAAAATTTCTAGATTCCTCCTATTGACTTCTTGAATTTATCATGTTAAGTATGTTCCATCATAAAATGCTTGCCTCTTCATGCATTTACGTTTTAAACTGTTGACATGACATGACTCTGACATTTGTCATACAGGTTAATGTCCTTGTTTTTGGTGCAAAACTAAGAGAAAGTCACGAGCAGCGTTTGTAAAGAACTAAAAAGAAAAACCAAAACCACTTCTTTGTAGATGCACAAACAAGCTAGTCAAATTTGATCAGTGAGTAGATTGAAGAAAGAAGTCAAATAAGAAAATGTTAGTTAACTCAAGTCTGCAAGTCTATTTTTAGTAGTTTTGAATTAGGCCAGGATCCTAGTTTGTTGATGATAGGAGATACTTTGAGTCGGTTAGCTTGCTATATTAGGAGTTAGTGAAGTAAGTTTTGTGGAGTTAGGTTAGCAGAGTAAGATGCTGTTTTTATGTTTCATTCATACATATAGGTTTAAATCATTGGAGGTAGTTGTTCTCACTTATATACTAAGAATCTTCCTCTTATCTAGTCAATATGAGACTTCGATCATATTCCAAACATTTGGTACCTAGCTTTGTGTAAATGTTCCATTGCTCAATGTAGTGGAGCTATATTTTGTGATGTTGGAATCTTGAACCACCATAGTAATTGAGTTAGACAAAATTTCCTCAATAGAATCTACTTCCTTCAAATTTCCTCCATTCATATCATATTCAATAACAGAATGTCAACGGTAAAATTACTATTTAAAAGAAATGAAAGCAATTCAATATCATTGCATAGTATCTTAACAACAAAAGAAGATGGATACCTTGTCCCGTTTTCCCAAATGACTTGTTGCATCTTCAAACAACTTCCTTCAAATTGGGAATAAAAAGAAGATATACAAATTAGTAAACATTCATATAAATATCCATTCAGGTTCAGTTCTAATTTCTATATATTGATCTTCTCTTCATACCTTCCTTTTATTGTATAGGAAGAGGCTGTACTAACGCTTGCCTTCTTTTCAGAAAAATAAGATCGGGAGATGGTCTGCTTCTTTACAGTTGCAGAAACGCTTTTAGGTATCTGGTTTCTAAGCGATGAATGCACCACAGAATTTGTAGAACTCTTCATTTTCCTAATGGTATCCGAAGCAACCCGCTTGGTTACTTGACAAGATCTAGCCGCCAAGTTAGCCATGTAGATGGAGTCTTGGCAAAATGATGAATTCTGTAATGAAAAAATAATTGTGAAAACAAGGACGGTCATGTAGAACGTGTGAGAAAAAGGAAAGATCTAAAACTCAATTAAAACCTCATACCAAGCAAGAAATCATCAAAATTTTGCTTTGCGTTCCACCCATGGATTCTTGCAGAATGCGTGTAAGCTTACTTTCTCGATATGGCACATGGTTATCGTTAGAATTCAACGCAGAAGCAACATTTAGCAAGGCGTATGTGAACTTGTTAATTTTACTATTTTCGACGAGGCTAGTGCCATCAGTACTTTTCCTTCTCGCATCTTCATAACCTGATATAGGAGTAGCAAGATAAAAGGTTAAACCAAGTATAAAATGTAATTGAAGTACTTTTTCCTATAATTCTTTGACCGGCCTCATAAATTTAACTATACCAGCCATGTCAACAAAATTCATCTTGGCAACAGAACGAATATCCGAAGCAGCCTCATTAGTAGATGAAATATGCACTATCAAGCCCCGGTGGCTTCTGTGAGGGGATTCATTTGCAATCTTTTGCCCTTGTTTACGTGAACTAGAACCCAAATATAGTTCGTAGAAGTCTGACAAGGATTTCACTGGAATCTGAACAACAAATAAACAACGTGAGGATTAGAAAATTTCAACATACAAGGTAAATAATATTGAAGGCCAAGCTTTTGGATACAAAGCTTCATAGAAGGGAGTAACTATGAAGCTTAAAACGTGAGGATTAGCTTAAAACTTTTGGATACAAAGGCAAAAACGGAGTAACTTGCCTGCGAAAGTCCCTTAAGTTGTATTTTGCCATGACCGTTATCCAATACTAAAACTGTTGGTCGTTTCGGATCCAGTAAATCATAAACACGGTCCACATGAACTTCATAGTACGATATGAAAATTGACTTCCCTTTTTCTTTGGCCATTAAAAGTAATTCATTCATGGATAATGATGCCAAACCCGGTTTCTCAATAGTACCCTGCAAAATGTATGGTCTAATTAGTACGCCAAGTAAATTAAAAGATGAAGATGACAGCAATTGGTAGAGCAAAGTAATGAATACTTATAGGAAACCAAGTTAGAGATAATACGAAATAATAGAAAACAGAGACACGTGTTCAAAGTTGCACCTGAATCGTAGAAGTTTTTCCAGTGCCTCTTGCACCATATGCAATAACGGTTGCATGATGACCATCAAAGACTCCAGAAATCAGAGGTTCCACCTCTTTTGCAAATATTTTTTCAGTGTCTTCATTCTGCTCATAGCAATAATCTACTTCATAAGTCTCCTTACGACTGCAAAGTGAAAGAATCGTCTTATTCCGCCAAGAAGATGCAGGAAGTACTAATTAAGCTTTGCATTCAACAATTTGAATTAAACTGTCTAGATCTTTTCTTTCCCTTTTTTAAGGAGGATGATCCTATCCTGTTGTTGTCTCTAGCTCGTTTTTTTTTTCCTAACGACATATTGCTTTGCTGCCAGTCAGCATAGGACAATGATAGGCTTTCAATACCCAGGAAGTCTGGATTGCTGAGTAGGCCAAACTCAACTTTACACTGAAACACATTCCAAAATATTGATTTTGGCAGTTTCAATTCCACCGACCAAACAAATTTATAAGAACGATGAGGAAACTAAAGAATAATCATGAAAAATGTGTTGCAGGGGAATCTTTAAGAAATCATAGAATGATAAGCTTCGGTTAGGATGTTGAAAAAGGTAAGAAGCTAAAATGACAAAAGACAGTGAGGGACTGTTTCTATTGATGTAATCCTGGTATACCCAAATTACAGAGTATATTATGCAGCAACTGTCTAGTCATTTTTTGTCCGCTCCCTCTATCATGGGTTCTTGAGATTACAACCGCACTGTGATATATTCTTACCAATTTAACACTTCTATCCAAATATTCTTTTTGGTAGTTTGACAATCTAGAAAGCAAATCTTTACCTTTTTTCTTCCAAATGAATGCAAAAATAGATTTTTTAAAAAAGAGAGAAAAATATATACATAATCTCACTATTTCTAGGGCATCTTTAAGACTTTAAAGTATTGTTAATCTATTTTAGATAACTATAACAGTATAAATATTAAATTAGAATTTAATGTGCAATATTAAATTACTATAATATTAAAACTATATATTATATCAATAAGCTTCTTAATAAGAAAAAGCTTCCACATGTCAGTTAACAAACTTCCCAAGAAGTCTCAGAAAAGTAATAGTCCATAATGGATTGATTGTAGACTTGATGGAAGTTACGATCATATTATATTTAGTATTTTCTTTCACAAAAACAAACATCAGAAACGTAATAGTCAATAATGACAATTTCTTTCCCCGTTATTTACTGGAACAAATTTCATTGAGGAAAAAGCCTCCCCATAGGTCAAATTTTACAAACTTTCCAAGTAGTTCCCAGAAACGTAATAGTCCATACAACTTATCTCCCCTTGATTAACTTTACAATTTGGAGGTAGAAAGAAGTAATAATGATCAGCATAAACCACAATTTGGATACTTCCCATTTCGCACATAATAACAAAATCATTCTTACTGAATTTAGTTTCTTCTTTTTCTCAGTACTTCCCCAATCGATTCCCGACTATCACAAATCACAGAGTCCACAACAAATTAAAAAAAAAACAAGAAAAAAAAAAAAGAAAAGCAATCACCTCACTGGTTGACCTCCGAAAGAGATGGTTACAGAGTCAGAAGCATCTCCGTCAGGCTTGTTCACAGAGATCCACGACGCCATAGAACCTCCATCTAGTACCTGATCAGCAAAGCTTTTAATCCTTGCGACCACCCGCACCTTCCGCGCCTCGTTGAAACCCTTGGGAACTCTTCTGAGCTTCGACTCGACTTTCGCAGACGAATCCATGGAAATTAGGGTTCCGGAAGGATGAATTTGGGAAAGAAACTGAATTCGGATGTAAATTGAAGAGAGAAGAGAGAGAGAGAGAGAGAGAGAGAGAAGCGAGACTGATTTTGTGCTTTGGTGTCTGAAATTATAATTCGGGGAAGAAATAAAGTAGCCGTTGGGCGTTTCAAAATTTGATTTATTGGCGCTGGTTGTGCTGTGACGCTCCTTCACTAGTGATGATCGAAACGGGTCGGGTCATGAATCGGGCCTCGTTTGGCCCAATGAAATGTTAAACTCCTTAATTTGGAAAATTTCAAAACATTAGGGAAAATTTATTCATAATCCCAAATTTGGTAAGTTTATGAATTTTTACCCTAAACTTTCAATTTTATCGATTTAAACCTCAAAAAATTGAATAAATATATTTATCAATTTACACCGTCGGTTAAGTTTTCAATTTCTATTATTATTATTATTATTGTATTTTTTAAATAATAAACAACTGAACGGAATAAAGAGACGTTTTTTTCTTGCTCTGTTTCTTTGGAGATTTTTCGTCTGACATCGCCACCAGGGTATTGTTTCTCTTTTCTTTTACTCCTTTTCCCTTTCGTTTCTCATTCGAATATACAGTGTCTGTAACAACTTAAGCTCATCACGAGTAGATATTGTTTGTTATATGACTAACAATGAAGACTATACTTCCGGGTTCTCAATTTTAGAACACTTTTGAACTATGAAAAAAAAAATGGAAGATAACATTAGGAGAAGATCTTAACATTAGGAGAAGATTGTTATAGAACATGAGCTCTTAAACAAGTTTGAAGCATTGATATCAACTTTCTGAAGCACTGATATCAACTTTCTGAAGCGGTGGATATCAACTTTTGGGTGAAGTCCCACAGTTTCTTTGCCAATTCACTATCATTAGCTTGTGAGCTTGCTTTGGCAACGTTCCCATCAGCAAAATACTGGCCACTGATACCTTTCATTTGCGGATGTAATGCAACATAGCATGTCGTCGCTGCTCCCTGAAAGCAGGACGATAATTACAATTGTTTCGTCATTGTAAAACATATCGATCGTGATGGAATATCGATTACTCTTTAATTGTCTAATTAAAAAGCTTAAATAGATAATGTAACTATTCTCATATAAGAACGAACGTAATAATTTAGTACGTAAGAACTTAGTATGTTTTAAATGAAACCTGTGTTAGACTTTTCGAGTTAATAAACACAAGCATCTGGGGCTGTTAACTGAACCCGAAAATCGCTCAGGTAAAGTTGAAGTAAAATTTTTGGTGAGAGTTAATTTCATCCCTACAATGAATGAGAATAAAGAACGACATTTTACCATGAGGGGCCTCAATAAAAAAAAAAGGGGTCAAGAATAGAAAAAAAGAAACCCTAGCAGAAGCTTAAATCAAGTTGATTTAATAAACAATCAAAAGGGAGAGGCCTATAAATTTGTGTATATAGATTTTCTGAACTAGATCATTACCTGCTGTACATTCTTCATGACATGTTTACCCACAAGGCCAAGAAAACCTGCATGAAATTTGGGACAAAAACAAATGAAAAGTATGTTTATTAAGACATGGAGCAGCAACTTTGTAACCGCCCGAGCCCACCACTAGCAGATATTGTCCTGTAACAGCCCAGATCCACCGCTAGCAGATATTGTCCTCTTTGGGCTTTCCCTTTCGGGCTTCCCCTCGAGGCTTTAAAATGCGTCTGCTAGGAGAAGGTTTCCACACCCTTATAAATGGTGGTTTGTTCTCCTCCTCAACCAATGTGGGACATCACAATCCACCCCCCTTCGGGGCCCAGCATCCTCGTTGGCACTCTTTCCTTCCTCCAATCAATGTGGGACCGCCCCCAAATCCACCCCTCTAGGGGCCCAACGTCCTTACTGGCACACCGCGTCGTGTCTACCTCCATTCGGAGAACAGCGAGAAGGCTGACACATCATCCGGTATCTAGCTCTGATACCATTTGTAACAGCCCAGATCCACTGTTAGCAGATATTGTCCTCTCTGGGCTTTCCCTTTCGGGCTTCCCCTCAAGGCTATAAAATGCGTCTACTAGGGGAAGGTTTCCACCCCTTATAAATGGTGGTTTGTTCTCCTCCCCAACCAATATGGGACATCACATGTCCTCTTTGGGCTTTCCTTTTTGGGCTTCCCCTCAAAGTTTTTAGAACACGTCTGCTAGGGAGAGGTTTCCACACCCTTATAAAGAATGTTTTGTTTCCCTCTCCAACCGATGTGAGATCTCACAAACTTGACACGGGAACAATTAGACAAAAAAAAAAAAAAAAAAAAAGGTAATAATGCAACAAATCATATTGAGAAACGGGCAAAAAGTCCTTGAAGATTCTAAAACCATGTTGTTATCACCAAGAATCACAGTAGTCAAATGCTCTAAAACATAAGAAAAATCAGCTGAATGCAGAGCTTTATGAAACCGATCAGACGACGATAATGGCGAGGTAGAAGATTTGATACCGTTGATGAGGCCGTGATAACGAAATAGGTTAGTAGGAATGGCTCCAGGATGTAGTGAATTTGCAGTTATATTCACCCCTTCTTCCTGTTTTAAGAAGTAAACGATTGCTCAGTAATATTGTCCGTTTACACTCCGCTCCTAAACCAAGGAGAAAATGGCAGAAACAACACCAAAATCTGGTTCAATGTAAGTGTTAAACTACTCTATCATAAAACCTTAATATAACCGTGCCTAATGTCACAATCCACGATGCGATTATCCCCTAGAAAGTCATCGAGGACGATGACTAATTTAAGTGGGGGAGAATGTCACAACCATATTATGAAGAGAGTAAGTTGTGATCCTCACGTCGAGACAAGCAAAGCGGCGTCCATCCGACCACGTGTGGGCCAATATAGAGGAATTCTATGATGCGACCGAGGAGGACGGTGCATCATTCCAATTGCATCATTTTTTGTGCCTAAATTTATAAAAATTATATTAAAGAGAGAGTTCGACAAACATGTCACAAACCTTCAGCTGTCTTGCGAGTTCGGAAGCATGCAAAATATTAGCAAGCTTTGATTGACCATATGCAGAAAGACCATTATAGCTGTATAGAATGAATGTCAGTAGAGATTATATGGTTCAAATTTGTCACTATATTCACTACAACCATAGCATAGCAATGATTATATGCAGGAATTTGATTCTTAATTTCTTCAATTTGGGGTTATAAGTCATAAAGTAACAAGGAAATAATCATCATATTTGATGGTGTGGACGTCCTGATGAGGATTGTTGATGAGGAGTCCCACGTTGGCTAATTAAGGAGATGATCATGAGTTTATAAGTAAGAAATACATCTTCAGTGGTATGAGGCCTTTTGGGGAGACCGAAAGCAAAGCCATGAGAGTTTATGCTCAAAGTGGACAATATCATACCATTGTTGAGGGTTGTGATTCCTAACATGGTATTAGAGTCATGCCCTTAACTTAGTCATGTCAATAGACCCTCAAATGTCGAACAAAGAAGTAGTGAGTTTCGAAGGTGTAGTAAAAAAGTGACTCAAGTGTCGAACAAAGGTGTACTTTGTTCGAGGGTTCCAAAGAAAAGAGTCAAGCCTCAATTAAGGGGAGGTTGTTCGAGGGCTCCATAGGCCTCAGAGGAGGCTCTATGGTATACTTTGAACAAGGGGAGGATAGTTGGTGGGGAGCCCCACATCGGCTAATTAAAAAGATAATCATGGGTTTATAAGTCAAAAATACATCTCCATTGGTATAAGGCCTTTTGGGAAACCAAAAGTAAAGCCACGAGAGTTTATGCTCAAAGAGGACAATATCATACCATTGTGGAGGGTCGTGATTCCTAACACGTCCCTCCGACTCCTCACAAACCTCTAATGAAAACTGACCAATACGCCCCGAAGGAACCATGCATTAGCTTATGCTGGGAGAAAAGGAATTATAGCAAAGGGTGAAAGAAAGAGAACCCTGATGGATCATTGATTTTGTCAAATCGGATGCCTTCACGATACGAAAATTGGTGTCGTCGCGATGAGACATTGACAATCCTTCCTTCTTTTTTGCTTTCTGTTGCTGTCTTTTTCAATGTCTCCAACAACAGATTTGTCAAAAGAAAATGTCCTGCAGAGAGAACTATCAAGTATTAGGACACCATAGGTCAAAAATGACTAGACTGTCAATTTTCTATCATCCACTACAAAAGAGAGTAACAATCAGTCCTTCTCTATTGATGTACGTACCCACATGGTTTGTTGCAAACTGCAACTCTATCTTGTCCTTCGAGAGCAAGAACGGGGAGGCCATGACTCCTGCATTATTACTGTAGAACAAAACAGTGTCGCTATATAGAAGGTAACTACTAATGGTGTAAGTGTTCAGTTTTCTCCCCTTTTTACTAATAGGTTAGGCATAAATGCACATATACAAGCACTTAGGCAAGGACATATGAAAGAAATTAGTCTTGCTCCGTAGATTAAATGAAAGGACAACTTGAATTAGAGAAACCACAAATACAAAAATGGTAGGTTCTTGTGAGATCCCACGTTGGTTGGAGAGGGGAATGAAGCATTCCTTATAAGAATGTGGAAACCTCTCCCCTACCGTGAGGCTGACGGCGATACGTAACGGGCCAAAGCGGACAATATCTGTTAGCAGTGGATTTTGGCTGTTACAAATGGTATCAAAGTCAGACACTAGGCGGTGTGCCAACGAGGACACTGGGCGGTGTGCCAGCAAGGACACTGAGCCCCCAAGGGGAGTGGATTGTGAGATCCTACATCAGTTGGAGAGGGAATGAAGCATTCCTTATAAGGGTGTGGAAATCTCTCCCTAGTAGACGCATTTTGAAACTGTGATACGTAACGGGCCAAAGCGGACAATATCTGCTAGCGGTAGGCTGTTCCTTCCTTGACTACTGAGGTAATCTAAACAAAGGAGCTTTCTTCTTTCATGTTATTAACGTTAGGTACAACTCATACTAACTATCCTAGCACCAGCATATCCTTTATTTCATTTTTTCTGGAACAATACAGAGATACCAATGAGAAACTAGAGATGCCATCTGCATCATATTTGGAAAATACAGAGATGTTCTTACATCACTCATATTATTTGTTAATAACAACATAATTCCACACAGTGCCATTTGATCTGAATGCTACATGAAGATAATAAGCTGGCTGATGGAATGAGAAGATTAATATATTCAGATAGCAAATGTAACATAGAATCCACATCTTACACGAGAATGTTCAGTGGAAGACCTGAGGAATTGAAATTTGATGCAAAATTCCGAACAGATGCCATCGAGCTCAAGTCCAACTCCATGGTATCAACTTTGGCAGTTGGGTTTTCCTTGACAATGGCTTCTTGGACCTTCCTACCAGTTGCTACATTCCTAACAGCCATTACGACACGTACACCGCGCAATGCAAGGACACGAGCAGTTTCACTGCCAATGCCACTTGATGCACCTGTGTTAATGCAGAAGACCTTATGATGAGAAAAAGGGAAGCACTCAATATGTACATTTGAGCTCTAATTTTCATCACGCACCAAAGGCAACACCAAAAGAGGATGCTAACTATACCCCCTCAGCATTACCCTCATTGTCTACCCATTAATTTACTCTTTATCGGTAAATATATATTCTTGTTGGGAGAGGAGTCTCACATCGGCTTATTAAGGGGTTGATCATGGGTTTATAAGTAAGGAATACATCTCCATTAGTATGAAGCCTTTCGGGTAAACCAAAAGCAAAACCATGAGAGCCTATGCTATGCTCAAAGTGGAGAATATCATACATTGTGAAGGGCCGTGGTTTTTAACATGGTATCAGTCATGCTCTTAACTTAGTCATGTCAATAGAATCCTCAAATGTCGAAAAAGAAGTTGTGAGCCTCGAAGGTGTAGACAAAAGTGTTGAATAAAGAGTGTACTTTGTTCAAGGGCTCCAGGGAAGGAGTCGAGCCTCGATTAAGGGGCGGTTGTTAGAGGGCTTCATAGGCCTCAGGGGAGGCTCTATGGTGTACTTTGTTCGAGAGGAGGATTGTTGGGAGAGGAGTCCCACATCGACTAATTAAGGGGTTGATCATGGGTTTATAAGTAAGGAATACATCTCTATTGGTATGAGACATTTTGAGTAAACCAAAAGCAAAACCATGCTTAAAATGGACAATATCATACCATTGTGAAGGGTCGTGGTTTTTAACATAGTATTAGAGTCATGCACTTAACTTCTCCATGTCAATAGAATCCTCAAATGTCGAATAAAGAAATTATGAGTCTCGAAAGTGTAGTCAAAAGTGACTCAAGTGTCGAATAAAAGGTGTATTTTGTTCAAGGGCTTCAGAGAAGGAGTCGAGTCTCGATTAAGGGGAGACTGTTCGAGGGCTCCATAGGCCTCAGGGGAAGCTCTATGGTGTACTTTGTTCGAGGGGAGGATTGTTGGAAGAGGAGTCCCACGTGGACTAATTAAGGGGTTGATCATGGGTTTATAAGTAAAGAATACATATTCATTGGTACGAGGCTTTTTGTATAACCAAAAGTAAAACCACGAGAGATTATGCTCAAAGTGGACAATATCATACCATTACGGAAGATCATGGTTTCTAATAATATATAACTTAGGTCAATCAACAATGAAAGCAATGAAACCCAGTAACCCTATATGCAAGCTCTAAGCTAAACGATGGCCTTGAACAATGAAATCTGCAGGAAAAACTATCAGAAAAACACAAAATAGAGAGCAAAATAGCCACGCCTCAACTCCATATTACTCTTAATTGAAATCTGATAAGAAACTGGAATGAGTAACAGAAACAAAATTCATAAGAAATGGGGCAATTCGTTCGATAAATTCGACAATAGAGAAATGGAGGAAGTTAAATGACCTGTAACAATGGCGATGAGACCAGTCCCATCGATTCCTTCTGTAACTTCTTCAGCTGTGGAAGAAGCGGAGAACCCAGATGGGCCTTTCCTGCTAAGAAACCACATCCCCCTCTCCCTGTATCCAATCTTCTCAGTATCACGCAACTAAAATTTTCTATGCAATGTGTTTTTCAAATTTAAAAATATTATTCTAACTTTTAATTTTGATCAAATAAATAAATAATAATAATTTGTTTTATATAATAGGCACAAAATAAAATAAAAAATTAATCATTTATTTACCATAAAAATGAAAATATTAAAATTTATGCCAACATTTTTTAAATTCATGCATTAAGTATTAAATTTAGACCATTTTATTAAGGTCACCCGTGCAATAATTCTTACGCCGATGTAGACTTCTTCAAATGTACACTTATAAACTTATTTATAAATTTGTTAATAGAAGATTCATGTTTTATAGGATAATTATATGCGACTCGGTCTTAATCATAAGTGAGTTATCTGCACGTGAGAGGTTGTCTTTTGATTTACACGAGTCAAATTGACTTTTGCGACCAATTCAACGTGCATATCATTTTGAGAATTTGACTAAGAAACATAATCTTACCGGGTAAAAGTTATTCACTTCTACTGTAAAATAATTAAATGAATAATTTTCTTAGGTGCTTATTTCGAGACTTGAACAATAAAGACACTCAATAAAATAATTAAATGAATAGTTTTCTTGAGTGTTATTTCGAAACTTGAACAATAAAGACACTCAAATTAGATTTCGCTTTTTAATTTTGAAAATTATTGTGTCTAATAAATTCTTAAATTTTGAAAATTTTACCGTAAGACCCTAACCTTCAAATTTTGGGTTTAATAAATTTCGAAACTCTTGACCGTATAAATTCTTAAACGACCTCTCAATTTCCAATTTTATATGCGGTTAATCTTTTGACTTTAAAACGATATAGGATGATCAAAAGGTACATAAACCAAGGTTATTCATTAATAAACATATGAATGACTACCTCATCATTAATAAGCACAATAATTGAGGTATATCACTAATACATAAAGATGTCCTAACAAACATAAAAATATTATATCAATAATAAAAAGTAATTGATGACATGTATCGACTATTGGTGTACAAATTATTTGTCAACAATAATAACGTCTATTAGTGACCGATGTAAAATTATAGTATGAATTGATCTATTAGTGATAAAAGAGTATTATAATATAATATAGAAATGATAATTTCTAACTTCCCACAATGCACGAATACAACGAATACATATGCGTTACCAATCCAAAACAAACTAGAATGGTTGAATCTTTAATACCTTATTTTTTTTAGGACACCATTTCTATTTGTAATGTAATACTCCACAAACACGCACAACACAACCTAACTAGGTAGAAACACCGTAATAATAACAAATAGAGAAAAAAAAGTAGACATAGTTCAACTGTAATCGACATAGTTTAACTGTATTACATTTCTTTAGACCAAGTTCAAGTTCCACACTTAGGACGAGAAATGAGAATCGGATTATTTGATTAAGTTAGTCGTAAAATCCCAAAGTTTCTTAGCGAGATCAACATCCTGGCCATGTTGGGTTGGCTTGTGTAGGTTACTGTTCATAAAATATTCACCACTCACTCCCTTTACTTGTGGATGCAATGCCACATAGCAGGTTGTTGCTGCACCCTGCAAAACAAATCGCTTCAATATTAGCCAAGTTATGTCACACAATCTCGTCAAAGTTACAAAGTCCTTGTTCGTGACAATATCTCAGTTTTTGTAAGCGTATGTAAAATAGACGCCAGAGAATGAAGCTCACCTGTTGAACATTTTTAAATATGAGTTTGCCGACTGTGTTTGCTAGACCTGCAAGAAAAACAAAGGGCTGTTGGATTAGGAAACTCCTAGGAAGATGGTTTCAAGAGAGATATCTACTGAGCTGAATGCAGTTTAGATATGTGGAAAGAAGTTGTCAATCAAAATGCAAGATAAAGATGGTCAACTGAAGCAAGAAAGACAAGAACCAGGTAGTGAGAGAGACTTTACGAGATAAGGAAACATCTAAATTTTTAGCTAAAGGTGTATTTTGAAAACATTAAACTCATAAGTCGAAACTGTAAAATCCCACATGGGTGGGGGAAAGGAGAACGGAGCATTCTTTACAGGGGTGTGAAAATCTCTCTCTAGTAAACGCGTTTTAAAAACTTTGAGAGGAATCTAGAAAAAGAAAGCACAAAAAAGACAACATCTACTAGCGGTGGACTTAGGCTGTTTAGAAACCGTGTTTAAAAACTCTGACGTTTGATGTCTAAGCTATTACCATTGCCATAATTGAAGTGGCGGAAAAGATTTGTGGTGATTATCCCCGGGTGAAGTGAGTTCGCAGTTATGTTTACTCCTTCTTCCTGTACAAGAAGAAACCATCAATTTTAAATGGTTTACCACAACCATTCTTAGTAAACAAAACCAGGAAAAATGACGAAATTGTAAATTAAAAAATCAACAAAAATGAGTTCCTCGGCTCAATGCATATAAATGCCCTTTATCGGATGTCCCCCAGGGCAACTAGAAGTAATAATGAAATGAACCAAGTTTTGGCAATGAAGAAAGGATTCGAATTTATCATCTAATGCCATACAACCTTTCTTGTTTCTCATTTTTGCTTTGTTTGTTTTCACTATCAACTAGAGAAGTATCCGTACCTTGAAACGTCGCGTAAGTTCATTGGCATGCAGAATATTAGATAGCTTCGATTGGCCATAAGCCTGCATTTTATTGTACCTACAATGACAGATTTTAAACAACTATCAAACTTTTACATGAACAAATGTAAATGACTGTTGAAGGATAAACTCAAAGAATAACAATGTCCTTGCATGCTCAAAGGTCAAGGTTTAGAACTATACATTCCACCCTAAGCATCCTGTGCAAAGTTCGGGACATATTATTAATTTATCTACACATTTTTGTTCGAGTAAGAAAGACGGAGTGATATTTATCAAACTAGAACTGAGCCCAAAAGCTTACAGCTTAAGTCAGGTAAATATTTGATCCTTCATTTATTTGTAATACTCCGCTCTGGGTTGGTTTGGATATTACTTTCTTCAACAAAACCCAACAAGTGGAGTATCAATATCAATTCGAAAGAAAGTGACACTGTCTAGACCTCCTCTACGAATACGACCTCGTTCAAGAAGGTGAAGGGGAATTAATCTATCTTTCTTCTTTACTGTCGTTAACCTAGTAGCTACAACTAAATCCAAAAGTTTTAAGCTAATAGTTTAGATTATATTTAATCTTTTTATATACATACATTCTTATTCTAAACAATATTTATGGAGGGAAGATTGAATGCGTCAAAATCGTTATATGCTTAAAACCGAGCGAACAGAAAGACGGCAGCAAGCAGCAATACCCAAACTGGGTTACTACTTGTCAGTTTCCAGTCTTCAGACAATGCAAGGAATTGAAAATCAGCCTCCTTTAGGTAGGAGGAAAGCAAAACATCGCCAACCACTTAATTCCCTATTCTCAAACAATGCTTCCCAAACCATAAAAAGGCATTCCATTCTTATTTCTGCACGCTTAAAAAAGTTTACCTTGATTCATCGTTAATTCCATCGAATTGGATGCCTTCAGGATATGTGTAACGATGAGCTTCTGAGGAGACGTTTACAATTCTACCTTCTTTCTCACTTTCAACAGCAGTTTTCTTCATATTTTCCAAAAGTAGATCCGTCAAAAGGAAATGGCCTGCATAAACTCGGAGTATCAAATTGGGTCAGGAATAATGATGAGCTGAAACACAATAAGTTAGGTTCCTTATAATTATTGTACACTAGGGAACTATCCATCAATTCTATTTTCAAAATTGAATGGAGGAGATCTTAGTTGTTATGATGATGAGAGATAAAGACCAAGGAGGACAATAAGACGTATATTATCCAAAAAATTATGCAAGAAAAGCTACAAGCAGTACAAGCAGAGAATTAGAGCCCGTAAAGTGCTTACAAACACTTCTTTCTTTTAAAGTTCTTAAAAGCACTTTATTAAACTCTTAGAAAGTCATTCCAATTAGGCCCAAAAAACCAACTCCACTTCAATGAATGTTGATATAAAACTTTCTCATCGTAGCAGCCACAATATCAATGCAATAAACCAAAGTTCCTAAAGCTAAGCAAGGCCTACGGCCTAATCTCCCCATGGCCACAACCTCACTTTCTCAGCCTTTCATATCGAGGCATAACAAGTTGGACTCACCCATATTTAATAACAGTAAAATCATGCAACATCAAATTGCCCTAGTCGTTTTCTGTATCAATATACCAAACTCTTGATGAGTCAATGGTTTCAAGTGTATCCTATATATTTTCTTGCCAGTTCACATATATTACAAGTTTTCATTATACAAGAAGAATCTAGTATATAACGTACCTAAGTGGTTTGTTGCAAATTGCTGTTCTATGTTATCTTTTGAAAGTCCAAAAGGGGTAGCCATTATTCCTGCATTATTACTTCCACCAAATAAAAAGAAAAGAGATGAAAAAAAAGTCACTAACTTGTACTACATCTTCAATTATATAGCTATATATCAAGGCAAGTAAATCCACGACTAGCAGGAGCAAGTAAGCAGCTGTGCATCAATACAGAAACAAACTACTTAACATGTCACTGTAATGCCTGTCAATTCTTACATGAGGATGTTAAGTGGAAACCCGGACGACTGGTAATCTGAGGCAAATTTTCTTACAGATGCCATGGAGCTAAGATCCAACTCCATGGTATCAATTTTTGCAGAGGGATTCTCATTGACAATGGTTTCTTTGACATTTCTACCAGCTTCTAAATTCCTAACACCCATAATGACATGAACTCCACGTAAGGCAAGAACACGCGCAGTTTCAGAGCCAATGCCGCTCGATGCTCCTGTGACATAAGCAAGGATTAGCTTGTAAGTGCAACTAGCAATGTTTGATTCCAAAGCAAAAAAAAGGAATAAAATTCAGAAAACTGCAAAAATGTGGTTGCAGCATTAATCTTGCGTTTAGTAATGAAGACCAAGCCAAGAGAGCGCTTATTTAAATGGTAAAACTAGTCACCAACCGTGCTTAGAAAAACATGTAGGAGACCCTTCATTTCAAGAG